ATATAAATCCCTGGGGCTACAAGCACCTGCAGCATGGCTGGGGCTGACCTTCCCCTTGAACTGCTCCCAGTAGAACCACTGCAGAAACCCAGCAGGAAGGAGGTTGTGCTGCTTCCAGCCGTCATTAACTTCCAGTTGCGCTTTGAATTAATCAGCCAGCCAGCAGCATCCGTCAACAAAACAGCCTCCTGCCCTCCTCTACAGCAGGGTGGGAAAGGGTGTGCAAGGGTTGGGGATCAGGGGCCAGGGAGGCCCGGGCTTTAGCTGTGAAGATAAGGCAGGCAAGGAGGCGACAGCACGGCTTATCTCTGCCCATACCGCGGCTAGTGCCTTTCCCAGGGAGCTACCACCCCGCACCCGTCACACTGTGGGACGCTGCAGCGTCTGACAGAGCCTCCTGCACCTCCTTTTAGATCCTGGCATCGTGCTGCTGCAGTGGGAGAAGAGGGACCGGTGGGAGCCTGGATGGGCCGAGGGAAGGAAAGCTGCCTCTGCACATCACTGTCAGTGTTTATTTATTTATCACGTAACGGTAGTTACAGCTGGAAAAAGCAGTAGGAGGATTGCTGCCAGACAATGTATCTAGGGAGATGTTTTGTAGTGCCACCAGCTGTCCCCTTGGAATAGAGAGCACGTCTGAGCCATGACTCACACTGCCAGTGTCTTATTTCACTCTCACATCAATCCGAAAATGTTCCTCCAGCCTGAGAATGCAATAAAAGCCTCCTTTTCCTGGCAAGGACTTGCACAGCCAGGTCTCTTCTACTGCCGCTTTGTGATCAGGAGAGGAAAACATCCATTTTAACTTCAGGAAAGTAACTTCTGCTGCAATTAGAGGAACAGCAGATGACCTGCCTGGGAGATAGGTCAAGGGAACACAGTACTCTCTACGTGAGACACCTGTTTAAAACGAGGAAAAAAAGTCAACAGATTGTTCAGAGATGCCTCTAAAGTCAGTGGAGAAATTCTTATGTGTCTGGAAGGATGCAGGACCAGACCTTAATATCCAATACTCTAGTGAAGCCAGAAAGCTTCTCCCAGAACAGGTTGTCATTTTAGCTTTGCCTTCCTCGCAGTCACCTTTGCTGGCAGCGTTCCTACAGAGACAACTCTTCTGTAAGCTGGTGACTGAGGTCTGCTCCTCCTCATTACTTCATTTAGCTCTGCTCAGGCATTCTGGCCTCGATGCCCCGACGCAGCAAAGCCAGGCCTTTTAAATAAGAGGGAGTGAGAACACCAGATGCTGCGGGACACATCTGTCACTGGATGGAGAACGGCCTCAGGCAGGAAACCACAGCTTGAGTTGTGCCACCGAGATGGGGAGCTGGCTCAGGGGCTGAGCCGGTGGCTGCGGTCACACTGCCGGAGGGGCAGCTGCTGAGGAGGATGACCCACAAGGGAAGAGCCGGCGCTGCACCCAGCACGCCGGGGACAGGGAGAGGCCACGGGGCTCTGCTGGGAACAAGCCCAGGATATAGCCCTTGTCACAGCGGAGTGAGCGGGGAGAGGGAACGGGCTCCATCTCACCCTCCCTGCGCCAGGCCCGATGTACAGGCAGGTCTGCTGAGTCTCCGAAGAGCCCTTCTGCTGTGCAGGGCTCTCTGAGCAGAATGAAACTCACAGTCAACTAAATAAACCATTAAATTAGTGGGAAGAGGGGCAGGGTGGAGGGAAACCTCAATAAAAATGGTGGTTGGCAAGTGCTGTGATTTTCATTAACCCAAGTGCCACTGGGAAGTCCTTCGGCGAGGCTTGCCATGTCCCCGCTTCTGAGCAGAGCCCTTCTGCTGTGCAGGGCTCTCTGAGCAGAATGAAACTCACAGTCAACTAAATAAACCATTAAATTAGTGGGAAGAGGGGCAGGGTGGAGGGAAACCTCAATAAAAATGGTGGTTGGCAAGTGCTGTGATTTTCATTAACCCAAGTGCCACTGGGAAGTCCTTCGGCGAGGCTTGCCATGTCCCCGCTTCTGAGCACCCGTGTGCCCCAGCTCCTTCTCTGAACTAGCTGATGGAAGAGGAATTCCATCACTGGCTTCAGACATTTGGCCCAAGCACACACACTCTGGCACACGGGTGTGCACTTTGGGGGAACTAGGGTCACCGAAAAACAACCAAACAGAATTGATCAAAGCTTTCATTCCTAGGGCTCTAACGCAAAATGTCAGATTCACAGCGGTCCTTTTATATTTTTGGCGTGGGCAGACGCCGCAGGGGGGTGGATCGTGACTATTTAGTGCACTGCCCTAGATGGAGCTGTGAAGCAACTGGGAAGGGCTGGACAGAGGTAGAGTCTCGGTGCCACATTCCCGAGATTAGATTAGAGCTCAGCCCTGAACCCTGCAGAGGGGGCCAAGCCAGTGAAAGCTAAAGGCTGCAAGAAAGATGGGACCGTAGCCATCAAGAGCTTCCAAAAATAAAGAAAAGTGTGTCAGAGGGACCAAAGAGGGGCTGGAATGCTTCTTTAAGGGTAAGAAGGAAACAAGCTGTCACTCATTAAGAGAGGATTCCCATCCCCAAAACCACCGCCTGAAATGTCAAAGGTGACAGTAATTGGACAGGGGAGCTGGAATTTGAGGACAGTTACCACGCAAGAGGAAAAACTCCAGAGAAGTATTTTGAGCTTAAAAATAAATAAAATTCTGCACCACGAAAATGAAAGATGTATGTTCCACGGATAGGATGTCTTGCAACTTGTCAAATCCTTGATTGCGCTGTTGTCACAATACTCACCGTGCCAGCTGTGTCAGTCATCAAATAAACAACTTCTCATCACTAGCAAACACTGGGGGAGTAAAACGAGGGGGTGGCTCTGTCCCCAGAACAACTGCATCGCAAGGATGTTACTAATAAAGGCCACAAAGGGTCCTGTAGCACAGGAAGGCAGGCTGTTGTTAGCAAGGGGCCTTGAAAGATTAACCAGAATAAAGTACCTGCCCAGTGGCCTGAAGTTATTTCCCTTTGTGACAGCGCAGACCCCTCTAAAGTCTTTAAAGAGCTGACTACAACGGTATCACGAACAGTTCAGCCTGAAAGCAGGTATTCACACCTATTCGATTTCTACAGAATACATTTTATCCTCCTCACACTAAGAGTAGGTTTTCCACCAAGTACAAACTGAATACTCAATCAAATATAGCTTAATACTTCTGAATCTGAATGACAGGGGGTTCTGCACTAAGTGCAGAAACCAAGACACCGGAGATTTGATTGCCAATATGCTTTGGCTAAAACATGAGTTCTGCACAGCTACACATTTTCCATTTACTTTCCCCCCCATGGCATAGCAGGATTAGTCTCTGAGAAAAGCCTTACTCGGGTTTTCATTAGCTTTGGTTCGCATGGGATTTATAGCAACTTTAAATGATTTGAATTTAGAGTGGGAAATTGGAAGAACTTCACATAATCCTGGAAAAAAAAATAAATAGACAAACCCTCCAATCCAGACATAAAAACCTTTTTAGAGCTCCTGTGAAAGCTACATTAGCCCTGAGTATCCTTCTAAGTTTCTACAGCTTCTTCAAGAAATCTGTTTGATACAGCGCCGAGCGAACCAAACATCCCAAACTTGTGTCAATAAAGTCTTTATAGTCCTTCTCATTTTTCTTTGCATGAAAGGCAGATTCAACACCCACACCAGTGCAGGCAAATCCCAGAGTGTCTCCAGTACTCTGTCCTCAGCACGCTGCTGGCACTGCTCCCAGGGACACCAGTGTTAACCACACACACCTCGTTTCTCACACCTCCGCCGCAGGCCCTCATCTGCCCCGTTCTTTGGCTCCAGTGCAATCACTCATTCAACATCTGCATCCTCCGTGACAGCAAAGGTGTTAAAAACAAAAAAAAATACTGCAAGAATCCCCAATCCCAGCAGTTTTCAACTCTTCCCTAGCTCCCGGTACGCTGGGCACTTCTCACACATTCAGGCAACAAAGAGAAAAAAATATAGACCAGGCAGATGCTCAGCACATGCGCTTGGAACTGCCCTCCCCAGCCACAAGGCTCACTTCAAAGTAGTTGGGACAAGGCTCTGGCTTGCTTTTACACCTGCATGATCCAAAATCAACTTCAACAATCAAGATTTCACCCTACTCAGCTCTCGTTTTGAGTGTCCCTGCATGGATGGGAAGGGTGGAAAGAGAGGTACATCTCTTGCTCCTCTGAGCACTCCTGCTGTGATGCTCCAGGTGGCCCAGGAGCCCAAATCCACCAACCACGGGGATTTTTCAGCAAACCACATGGGGACTGCCCCTTTCCTCTCTTGCCCGAGTCAAACCAGTGGTCCTTCAAGGTCAGCAGTATGACAAACTGGCAGAAGAAGGAAGGTGGAAAAACTGTCAGCTCTGCACCTTGCCAGCTATCTGTCACGCTAATGGATAAATAGATACTTATGCTTCCGGGATTTTCCATCCATTGCTTAGCCCGCCCACTGTGAAGTCGTCACTTAATTTTAAATTAAAAGGGGAGCAAGAGGGATTGTTGCAAAAAGACCTAGAGAAAGCAAGGGAAGGAGGCGACATCTGAGAGCCCTGGGTCATTCTACCCCTTCCAGCCTCTATCACTGCTGCTTTGTTCCATATTTAGCTCCTGACAACTGTGCCTAGTGCAGGAACTCCCAGCTCTGTTTTTCCCTCCTCCCGCCTCTGCCTCCTCTCCCTTAGAGCTCTCAGAAATTACTCTTTCTTTTTCCCAGTGGCAATAACTTACTACCCTCACACTCAAGAAGATGGCAGAAAAGCAGGAGGAGCCCAGCAACACCCAGAATGGTGAACCTGACAATGCAGAAGAGGGTGAGGAAAAGAAGAAGAAGTTGAAGCGGGAAGACCTGCCACCCTTTGAAATCGTGACGGGGTAAGAGGTTTAGATCTAAATGCCAGGGTGCAAGGGAGGGAGGTGGGGATGTTCAAAGGTCCCTGCCTCAGTTCTTATGTTGGGTAATTAGATGCAGCCAATGCACTTCTGAATATTCTTAAATGGCGTAAATATGGGTCTCGTTACTCTGGGGGCTGTTAAAAGCGTTGCTGAGTTTTACAGAGGATGGATTGGCACCAGGCAGGCAGACAAATCTGTTTGTTTTATATAAGCAGCCCTGCTTCTGTAGTGTTCACTGACTCCCTCACGGTGCAAGCAGTCCCAGCGACTGCAACAGGATCACTTGCCTGATGGTATCGGGATGGAAGGTATTGGCCCTTGATGAGCACCGAGCATTGATTTCTTGGTGTGATCAATGGCTCTTGTCTGAAAGTTTCTCTATCTGTGGATTAGGAAAAATACCCTTGTTATGGCTGATTTGCTTTATGGACTTAAAGGACAGATTTTTCAAGAGAGATGAACATCCACATTTTCAAGGGCTACACGCCCACATCTCGAACAGCCTAGCTCACAGAAAGGCACCAAAACAACAGTTTTCAAGACAGCAAAGTAGCAAGCAGCTCCTTGTGCTCCAGTGAGCCTGGCCTTTGAAAAAGGCAGACGTAACAGGGATCTGCTAGGAAGTTGAACTCCGTCAGACAGAACTGACAGCTGCAACTAGAGAAAACTCTATAATCTGCTCTCTGTAAGCATTTCAAAACACTCACTCTAGCAGTAGCAAGATGCTCTGTGTCATTGTTCCCTCTGGTCTCCCTTAGCACTCACCAAGGCAGTGTTCCCAGCGTGTAAACCAAAACCATGATCTCCTCCAGCTGCTTGAATGGAGAGCTCAGGCCAGACTCTAAAACCCCACTTGGAATCCTTCTGTATGTGATGTGGTCACTGGTAAGAAAGATTCTGCAAATAAAATTTGGCTTACATTTCTGAAAACGATGCACGAGGCAGGACAGCACCTATGACTGATCTCACATGACTGAGTTACATTCCTGCACAGGCGTGAGAAAACATTTTCTGCTTAAAATGTGTCTGCTCTGAAAAAAATCACAGAAATAATCCAGGTGTGCTAGAGCAGTGTCTTTTAAGAAAGAGAGAGCTAGGACACCAAAAATTGGAATAGGAACAAAGCTAGGACACCAAAAATGGTTTATTTAAACCACTGGACCAATGACACATATATTGACAACTTCTAGAGATTTAAGGTGTACTAAAATGAATCTCAATGAGGAAAACAGATTTTTCAGCCTTAGAGCATTCAACTTGCAATTAGATATGCCAAGGAATTAGGCAGTACCTTCAAACTTTCTTGCTAACCCCAACGACCTGGGTAGGAATTGGTGTGCTAGCCAGGGATGAAAAATACCTTCTTAGTGTCATCCTGCAATTAAATTATTTGGTGAAATGACAAGGGTGTTAGGAGTTTGACAGGACCTTCCACTGTGGAAAGGCAGCAGCAAGAAGGTGAGGGATGACACGCGCTTAGAGGAAGGGGTAACAACAGGGAAATTTAACCTGCTGAGGCCAGGATTGAGCTGCGCTGCTGGAACGGCGCTGGGACACAAGCACTCGAGTCAGAGCTGGAGGGGATGCAAGGAAGCCTCAGGTAACAGCTCTCTAGAGACAGGTTAAAAATCTGTGCTATGGCATCGATAGACATTAAGCTGGTACCAACCAATTGTCACATTCTGTACCCTGAGACCAAGCAAGAGGGGAGTTTAAGCTTCTGAAAGGAAAACGAGCTGCTGGTATGTGAGTATTTATACCATCCTCACCGCAATATTATCTGGAAAGTGCTTTTAAATATCTGCTGAATTCCTGTAGGAATCCTGCCCAAGTCTCCTCTGATTAGTAGTTTATTACTAATGTGCTGGCTATTAAAGGTGAGAACGAGGAAGTAGAGCAGAAATCCTGAAGGACTCTGAAAGAGGTACAGAAAACCCCAGCAATTTCCACTTTCATTTTAAGTATTCTGTGAGATTTGACTCTGCCTCGATCTGGTATGATCACTGTTGGGATTTTTCTAGTTATTTACAAATTTTCAGCCAATAAAGCCAGCTATGTGAATTATGAGAAAGCACAGAGCTGCAACTGTGGAAGCACAATTCAATTACATTGCATTTCAGTTGTAGCCCTTGGATTAGGGGCATCTTATGACACACAGCCAAGCTTACAAGCTGTTGCTTATAGCTCTAAGGAGTCTGGCTTACATGAAAAATAGTGGGAACCTAATTACTCTGTTTAAGAATATTAACTCCTTTTTTTGTCAACATTTGGCTCAACCCAGTCCTGGATAAATATAAGCTCCATCTGTGTACATTTCGTGACATTTAAGTAGACACATTTATTTACACTTTCTCTGGGGTGTAAATGAGGCTCCTTGTAGCAGTGATAAATCCTCGGTTCCTGCTGCAGTTGATCATTATAGGCTTTCTGTAATCAATGAGCCCAGCACAAATACGCTCATTTGTGAATCGTTGTCCAAGAGCAAGCAAAAGGACACTGTTTTATCAGCTCAAATAACTTAATGCTGGGACACCAAAAAAAATGGGTAAAATAGAGATACTATTAACATTTCTTCACCACCTGTCATTCAAACAGAAAACAGGCTTGCCAAGAATTGGTCATTTCCTCAGGAACTGTCTATTCAAAGCTCGACTTGGGTTTCCAAAGAAGTTGTCTCCGTTTCTTGCAGTAGTTGACACAGCTATTTCAGGGATGTATTTTGATGTCTGCAAAGAGTTTTAGTCTACCCAAAGAAACAACACAATATCTCACTTTGCAACAAATTAGGAGGGTCACCTGCCAAACATGCTGAAACTCAAAGGCGAGATGACGCAGCACACGGCACATACTCAAGAATATAAGAGTGTAAACACGGTGTATACTCGTTATGGCACCCACGGGTAGTTCTTGCTCACTCTCTGAATCACTCGCTATGGGGCTTTGCAGTTACTCAGGGGATCCAGGATCAGGGACACCTTGCTCAAATCCCCACTGCTGGGAAGAATCACAGAGCAAGGGCTCAGCTAAGCCCTGTCAGGAGAGAAGTTTACCATTCACGCTTGTGCCAAGATGTCCTCCCCGCTCTGGTTTACGTGGGATTAAGCAGATGCTTGCTAACCAGCACACGCAGCTCTGGGGTTGCTACGTATCCACGATCAGCACATTTTCCAAGCTCTCAGCCAGCTATTTACAGGCTTGGAAAACGCCCTTAGCTTTATTTATATTCTTTATCGGAAACTTATTAATTAAGCTGATGCATATTCCATGTTGCCAGGAGGACAGATTTAGGTGAACATCCCAGATAATCTTAGACAGACGCCGAGATGATAAGCAATAAAATCCGTCTAGAATGCCTGACTAAATACACCTCTGAGTCAATACATCCTGGAACAGATCGGTGCTGTTTAAACAGTCCATCAAAACATACAGACTCAATCTCAGAACTGATATAACTGCTTTGCAGTCAAGAGAGTTAAATCAGGAATGAACTTCCACGTGACTCTGACACGCTACATTTAAATACATGATGTTATTTTAAACCAACTTATTGTAGACTAACAAACTTGGCTCCAAAACAAGGTAATGGGTGGCTTTTGTCAGAGCCAGGAGAGCTGGACTTCAAAGAAATCATTAATTAAAGAATCATTAACCAAAGAACCACTCATTATCTAGGATATAAAGCAAGAAAAACACAATCCTTGGAAGCAAGCAATTTTTTTTGGTCTCAGAGAACAAGAGAAAGGAGTTCAGGGAATAAAAGGCACTATGCTAAATTAGAGTCAGATAAGGTTCTTTAATAAGATCATTGGAGGTTTTGCAACTCATACTAAAGAAAATGAGACTTGCTCTAGCAGGTAACTACGTCATTTTACATAAGGGAACAGAGGTCAAAATGCTAAGAAAAGAGGTTAAAGCAGTGTTTCTGTGTAGTTTAGAAATTTTGCAAGCCAGCGCAAGTTTCCCTTACGTAGGCTTGTGCAAACTCTCGATGCAAACCAGAATCATAGACCAAATCATACCCAAACATGATTTATTTGCTCATTAATCAATATAAAAGCCTGTATCCACACTGCTGCATCTCATCCCTCATTAACACACCGCCAGCCAAATAGCATGGAAGGCTCCCAGACAGCCTCTTCTATTGTTAAAGTCCTGTCTTGTGTAGATTTAATCTACGTAGAATTGAACAATGTAAGGGTTTAATTATATCATTTAAGAAGCAGCTGAAAACCTGCTCCTAGTAAAATTTCTAAAGCCCAACTTGTACTCCAAACTTCCACTGTCACAAATCAATGATACGTGAAAAGACTTTACAGTGGCCCTTGACTGGCAGCAGCAGCAGATATTCCCAGTGTAGATGCAATTCTATGACCGAAATTGTTTCAACTCGTACATCATGTTGCAAACAGAAGACAAACATCTCCCTCTCTCCGTACAAAGTACAACTGTGCCAAGCTAACCGCATCGACTCTCACACCACTTGGCTCGTACAGCACACCGGTATTTCAAGCAAAGTTGTTCCTCTGTAAAATCACGCACTGGGAAATCCAAAACAGAAGTGGGAACTGTAACTCCAGGGCTTCTCTGTTCAGCTGGTCCAAATGGACCCTAGATACTACTGTAGTATCATAAAATAAATAAATAGGGTGTTCTTTTATATTTTAACTTTCTCAAAAGCCAAAAATGCCACAGGACTTGGGCGGCAAGAAAATTCCTGGCTGTGTTAAGACAAGTACGGAATATACACATATTGAAGAGAAATTTCTGAAACTGTAAGTGGAATTAAACATTTATGGGAAATTGCATTTAAACTTTTAAAACAGCACAGCTAAAGAAGCTTGACAACAGCTAGAATTTACTCCAAGTTCCAATTTGTTTCTAAACAACCCCCCTTTTTGCTTCCAGTAGGTAACGTGGTATTTGCAGGCAGGTATTGCACGCAGAACTCCTCAGTGCCTATTCCCTGCTCTTTCTGCTCATTCCCATTCCAGTCTCTCTGATTTGCACCAAGTCTGGTGCTGTTTGGGGCTTTTCACGCAGCCCTAGCGAAGCCTTAGCCTCTATAGGAAGCCATCCACCGATTTTAGAAGGCACCGGACCCAGCTCTTCCCAAGCGGTCCTTATTCCTGACCTGCAAACACACATTTTCACCGTGTCCCACACCAGCACCTCCCACCAGCGAACCGACAGCGCGTTCACCCGTTGCTCCCACAACACCAAGCGAGCACGACTCTTTTTTTCTTCTTTTTTGATTGTTTTCCCTCTTTTCCATGCCATTTGCTTCCAGCATCTCTGGAGACTTCTTGCGAGATGTCACATCACAAGTTGTTCTCTGTTCTCAATGGAACGACGCTTTGCCTCTTCTTCCTGCAGCCTCAGGGCTCTCCCCAATTAAAATTTCCCAGAGTCTGAGAACCTCTCCTGCCCTTTGCTCAGTGTACCCCCTGGAGAGGCCTGACATTATAATCTGAGTATAGATGAGACAAGGCTGAATAAGGCACTTGCTGTTTTACAAAGATTCATTATTGCCTCACTGGGAATATCAAGGTTATAGGTCCACCTAAAGCTCAGATGAGAGGAGTACAACACGCCGGAGGATTAGTAGCGTGTAATAAATGAAATGTTGTGTTACTACTCTCGGTTATTTAGCTTTGGCTACCCTGTGCAGTCTTCACTCCCATCCTTTGTTGCATTTAGCAAGTCACAAGGTGTTGTCAGGAGTATCTTTTTCATCTTTCCACCTAATAGTATTAGTTCTTGTGCTGATACACTCCACAGTTAGATGCTGGAGAAAAAGCTACACGCAGTACTTCCAGGGACTAATTTCAGCTTCCCTAAACAACAGCAGATGACCTTGTTTGGGTGAAAGAGAACTGCAAACAGATTACTCACTGCAAAGATTCACTTTGGATTACGCTTACTTAGAAACTCAGAAGAGGCGCACAACAAATTAATAAAAGCACCTTATCAGTAGTATCCGTGAGACAGTTACCAAGCTTCAGTAGCAAATAAACTTTTTCATCGCAAAGTTAGATCTGATCTCAGATATCTTATTAAACCGAAGTCACAACCCAATCCTACTGAATACTAGTATTCAACTGATACTAGAAGAGTAAAACTAGAACATATGAAAACTGCAACTGGTCAGTCATGCTTGCATCTACTCAGAGGAAATCCAGACTGCAAAAGCGCTGGGGGTAAAGTGTTAATGAGCAGTGTCAGAGTTATCATCCTAACAATTTAGGAGAACAGATCTTGCAGATAAACACTGCAACACCACCATGAAAAAACTACGTTAATGGCCTAGAAAACAGAAGAACAGTTTAAGCTTCAGGTGCAGTAAGACTGGGAAAATGACATTTGCTGTCCCTTCTTACCAACAGTAAATATCAGAAACTCAAGAAACACATTGCAGAAGTAAGTTCCTCTTTAAATACCTCAAGGCAGATACCAGAAATTCCCAGTGCAGTTTGTTAAAATTAAGTGAAAAACACCAGGTAGTGAGAATGGGCCTGGAAGCCTCAGCACACAGCAAAACAAGCTGAATATGGCAAAACTTTTAATGTATGTTTTACCTTCCCGTTAAAAGGCATCTCTTTTTAACGGATGGAGAAATACAGCCATCAGAGATGCAGCAACTTGTCCATGATTGCGCACAGGAACGAAACCAATGCCACAACCCTTTATTACCTGCCTCTTACCCCCCACAACGGGGGGCCCCCCCCAGCCATATTTTTCAAATTCCAGTTCAGGAACGTGGAATACAGCTCAGGCAGGAACAAAACCTTCCTGTGTTACGTTCTGGAGACGCAAGGCAAAGAGTCAGTGACTTCTCGGGGTTACCTGGAAGACGAACATGCGGCCGCCCACGCAGAAATGGCTTTCTTCAACACGATTTTACCCAAGTGTGAATCGAGCCTCCGCTACAACATCACCTGGTACGTGTCCTCCAGTCCCTGCGTGACCTGTGCCGACCGGATAACCGAGACCCTGAAGAAGAACAAGAACCTGCGTCTGACAATCATGGTGGGGCGCCTCTTCATGTGGGAAGAGCCCGAAATGCAGGCTGCCCTGAAAAAAATGAAGTCAGCCGGCTGCAAGCTGAGGATCATGAAGCCTCAAGACTTTGAGTATGTCTGGCAGAACTTTGTGGAACAGGAGGAAGGAGAGGAAGCAAAGGCTTTCGTGCCATGGGAGGACATTCAAGACAACTTCAAGTATTACGAGGAAAAGTTGGCGGAGATTTTGAACTGAAGCTCACGTGAGTGAGGATTTCCACTTGGTCACCTATCTCTTTGTGTTAGTGTTACAGACTCTTTTTTTATTCAGGTTGTTAAGTGAGTAACCCAGAGCTCATTTCAGCTACTGTTACTCTCACAGGTACCTGGCTGGGTTTGCCTCTACCCAAATATTGAAAATAATCCTGGGCACTACCTTAATCCTTCAAGAGTAGTGACGCTGCAGTGGGCTCCTCCACCGCAGACACACAAAGGATATAGAGCTGTCTTTTTTTCTTTTTCCTTCCCAGAGTAAACACCTCCAAGAATCAAGAATAAAAAGGTACTAGGGTCACTAGGTGAACGTGAAAGCATTTGAAACTTCTAACACATCTTTTTCCTTCCCCAGGACCAATTCAGAAAAGATCTACAAAGAGGGATGCAAGAAACTTGGACATCTGGGACACTCCTGCTTTCCAAAGCTTCGATGCCAGCACTACGGAGTAGCAACTTCTGGAAGGCTAGGCCCTGATGGACTACAAATACATCTAAAACAGAGATCCCTAGTGTTTGGGATTTTTTTGGTTTATTTTGGTCCTTTCTCCCCACGCCCAAACCAACCCATGCTGCCACTGCTCATAGGAAAAATGAAAAATAAAAAAAAGCAACATAGTGTGTGGTTAAAGGCTTGAAGGGAATGGATTGCAGTGGGCCTACAGCCAAGACTGAAGGCCTCCCATACTGGGATTACTTTATGAGAAAAGACCTTAGGACAAACGTTAAAAGGATTTAAGATTAAAAGGTTTTCTTCCTCTGTCCTCAATAATCAGAGCTGTGATTTAAATTAGGACTAACTGGTCTATTCTAAATTATGATGAAACCCCAGGTACTCGATTTCAAATACCTTCTCCCCTTGTTCAGTGATGTTTGTGATATAAAAGTGGGAAAAGTGAAATAAAATCAGAAGTCACTGCAAAAGCCTATAGCACCGTTTATTCCTTCTCTATTTGCAAGAGGTCCCACATTTACTCTGACAGGTCCGTCATCCTGAGACAGCCACATTATGAAATATTTTGTAGCAGGAGCACAGCATAACGAGAAGGGAAAATTACCCTAAGCCAAAAGAATTTCAAAAGAGAGAATACGGGCACATCGCTCTCCAAATAAAGCAAGGCACAGACCAAACGAGGGTCACAGGGATGCTCATCAGCTAAGAAACGGAGTCAGACACGGTTTGTTCCTCTGATCAGTTCTTCATGTGGGTTTCTCCCACGCTGCCACAAGCTGGAACACACACACCTCTGAGCACCCCTTACCCCAGCCAACTGCCGGAAATTCTGGCATAAATTTTCAAGGCAGAATAAAAAAGTGGCAACAAGAACACTTTGCCAGAGCCACTGTGGGTTTTGTCTCTTTGACACTAATTTAAAAAGCAAACATAAGTAAGTGTAAGGGCTAAAGTGATGAGCGGTCTTGATGTTCGCTCTTGATCAGCTCAACACTCCCAAGTTCCTATTGGTCTTACCAAGTTTATTTCTTTTTCCAGTTGTGTATTTAGCTACAGCAATTATCCACCAAAAACAAGTTTACAAAAGTTGGTCAACAAACAGGGAGAGTAATAACACAGAGCTTTGGAAGACACAAACAGGATTTGCATATCTGCATCGGCAAAGAAACCACACAACACAGATTAATTCGCAATGCCAAGAACAGAAAACGTTGCACCCATTAAATTCCCAGGGAAAACCAATTAGGAACCCTCTATTACGCTACAGACTTCTCAAGTGTTATGTCCCATCTTTTAGGTTAATTCAACAGATCTGGCATTTTTCTGGGCACTGCATATGAGCAAAGTCAAAAGGATTTATTAGGGGAAGGTGGGAAAAACCAGGCATAAAGGAAATGTGGAGTATTCGACAGTTCTTCAGTACCAGAAACAAAGCTGCAAAACCCAAGTGTCTGCCAATGATGTGATGAACTGTGTCACTGATTTGCTTTTGCTACTCGTGACATCAAACACCAACCTACACGTAACAGCTGAACTACAAATGCAGTAAAAAAAAATAAGTACGAAAACCCTTAAAGCCTGCTCTACTACTTGTGCAAAATGCACCCACGAGGTGTCTTTACACCTCTCCAGCACTCCCCTTCAAAGCCCAGCTGGCCTCTAGAACGCAGCCACGACACACACAGACCTAGGTGGGGGTTTCAAAAGGATCATGCTTTGATCCGAGAGCAGAGCACTGAAGAGCTATTTATTTAATGTTGACAGCGTGATTCTCAGCAAATACAATCTCATAATACAAAATTCTATTTGTGGCCAGAAGGTAGAAATTAAAATTTTAATCCTGTAACGGATAAAGTAAACTGTACGTCAGATAGGAACATTGCAAAACATCAAAAGAAAAGTGACACAGCTCCACAGCTCCTCATTATGAACCAGAACTACAAATCAACAAATACCGAAGCAACAGACAGTTCTAATTTCACTCTGCACAGAACTGTCAGCGAGAAGTAGAAGCTCCAGCACAGGCAAGTTCTCCGTGGAGGACCAGTGACATCTGGTGGTTTCCTGGGACAGAGCTGGAATTCCTCAACCGTTACTACACACCCCTGCCATCTTCACAGGCTCTCCGAACACCACATCCAAATTAGCTGCTCTGGAGTTGTTTTTTCTTTAAATCTTGTTATTAAGCGTCACTGCTAACACAGGAGTGAGCTACGTTCAGACAAAGGATGTGCTCCGCATGCAGTTTCCCCCCCTCATCCATTAACAGGTTTCCTGAAAGCAAACGGGGCTTCTCTTTCAACTCTTTTGCTCACAGAGTGTAAACTGTGATCTTTATATCCGTGTCTTCAAACACTTCCCCAAGTATTGCTGAAACTTTATTCCAATCCAGGCCATCAAGACCACAACCAATCCTGGAAAATAAGACATTGGAACAGCTGTAATGGCCTTTCAGAGCACGCTACGAACAACTAACCCTCCAAGCAGCTGCAATTTTACAGGGCACTGACTCAGTTCAACATAATGCAGTTAAAATAAGTGCAGTTATTATTCTGGAAATGCAAATTTTATTTTCACAGTCGAACAGAAGGGTTGAATAGAGGTGGATACTTGAATTCTTATTTCATGGAAGGGAATCATCTCTCAAACATCCTTCTATGCAAGAAACATTTAAGTATGCACATCGCAGGAGCTAACTTTCTTACCTAGGCATGGAAATGTCAGTAACTCCATTGTTTAGGCAGTGAGCTTTCATGGCTTCTAAACTCTTTCGCATAGTATCGTATGTCGGTTTGTGAGAAACCTTCTTCTTTGTAATCTACGTATAAATGTAAAAGGGTCAGTTGTGTCTTTGGCACGACTGCTGCAAACTACTCTCTTTTTTAAAAAACACATCCCACTACACTCTGCAACTCCACAGCTGGACTTGCTACTGTGAAGAAAAAAAAAAAGACTTGGAAAAATAACTATGTTTCACAGCTTAAAATGGTGTAATTTAGCAGCTGGTTTTGTCCATTTAAAGTTTAATATACATACAGAAGACAGCTTGGCTTCTCAACTACCCGTATTTGAATACTACATCCCACATCTCTTATTTAGATGAACATATTCAATAAACAGTTACAGGAAGTGCCTGAGCAGTGCCCCCCTGCTTACCAGGTAGTAAATGTATCGGTCGTCTCTCTGGAGAACTGCAACTTCCCCAGTCTTCTTTTCTAAAGCGAAGAAATTAAGAAGCCATTTTTAAAACAGTTACATTCCCCTACGTAATTCCCCCTACGCCCCAAGTAGCTTGGAATACCCTTACTGCTGGAAATCAAGGTTTTCCCTTCAGCTCCTGCATGTCCACCCCACGTGTATCACTCACGTTGATCCAACAGCTCTTGCACGCCTCCGAACTTTTTCTTAAAAAGAACAGCTATGCCTGCACCCATGCGACAGTCCTCGCTGATGCAATGAGCCAACGCGTCCGTCTGGGGGCATGAGAAAAGGTCCCCCTTAACAGACTTGATCTGGAAAACAACACAGACAGAAAGGTAAGTAGGAGTAAGCAAAGAGCGCAGGCTCTGATAACAGAATACCCAGATAACAGGGGATGTGGCACACTCGTACAGCAGAGTGGAAGGCATTAAGATGCATTTGACAAGCGGGTGAGTCGGCAGGTATTATGAACCCAACATACAGATAACCATCTTTTCTACAAGATCAGTTATGAGTAGCACGTGCCAGCTCAGCAGCTAATTTTACAAAAAAGGAAAATTACCTAGGAGTACAACTGGATCAGTGCACATCTGCAGCACACTATCAGCGTGTCAGTACTGGACGTACCCAGCCATTTAGTGAAGCAGGTAAGCTCTGTGCTCTCGTACAATATCTGCGTCACTGACCCAAGCACAAAAAACTGGTGATATTGGACACTTCAAAAAGCTACAGGGCACAGCCGGCTGCCCTACTGCTAGGGGGACAGGGAGGTCTCTGTAAAGAGACAGATCACAGAACAGCCCAGATAACCCATTTCCTACGCACTCTCTCCTCCTGGTCCTTGGAGAAGTGGGTAGCCATGGCAACGTGGGGTATGTTGAAGACTCCTGCGGCTGGAAAGATGAGAGAAGAACAAAGTTATTAGGAACTCCAAACTCGGCAACGAGCTCGTGTGGCAGAAGGTGTAACGCTGAGACTATTTTATCTATGGGACAACGAGGACACGCCTTGAGAGCGGAAAAGGAGGCCGGTACCCCCGCAGAGCGCCGTGCAAGCCTTC